CTGCTGAGAGCTATATGCAGATGACGTGGATTTTATGCAATTTCCAGCAAGGTAACAAGAAATATATGACCTTGTGCCAGCACGACAATTTAAAAAGCTGCATCAATGAGTGATTTGATCAGGCAGTTAATAGAAAAGGATGAAGTCACCTATGGGACACACGTTTTTAATTCTGTTTTGATGCTTACATCATACTGCCCTACAGACTGGCAAAAAAGCCCAAGCGCTGATTCCCATTAAGAATTCAGTTTCAGAACAAGTCACACTGAAAGCTAATTTCAGTTATACCTCTAAGGCAAAGTAGTCTGTCTTAAGTAAGATGGCATTTTGAGGAACACCCCCACTGCTTTAATAATTAGTAATGTAATTCTCAGTATATACATACTCAGTCCTTGTTCAAAATGTTACCTGCCAGGCCAGGCAAAGGCACAAGATATGACTAACTAAAAAACATTATTGCACTGCATAACTTTCAGCTTTACACCAGAAATATTTACCTTATCTTACAGGATTCAAAAATCACATCACAGAAAGAGTGAAACAGACATCTTATCTGCAGTGTTTTGGGAACCTGCACAGGCAGACTAAGAACACCTTAAAAGTATCCCCACCTTCTATATATACACGAAACCTTACATTACAGTCCTGCTACTGCTTTAATATATACAAAGCTACCTCTCCCCACTTCAGACCAGTGAAGACTGTTTTTGCTGCCAGCAGTAAGAATTGAAAGTTTGCTGCTCCTGCACTCAAACAATTTTACCAAGTAAGTGCAACTAGAAAGGTAACGCAGTGGGTTTAATCAAGAGGCATCTCCAGAACTAAGAACAGACAAACTGCAATCGCATTTTCTTTTTCCAACTTTTAGATCCTAAGCCTACCATCTCTAAAATCCATGGGCAGCTTCCACTGCTTTCAGCAGGTGAGGAATCATGACGGACGGCTGTATGATACTCCAGACATAAATCCTAACCACTAGAACTAGGCTGTCTTGCTACTGCTTTTGAGTTCACCCAGCATTATTTTTAACACCCAAAGAATAAGCCCAGACCCAAGCAAGATGATAAAGTCAGACTCCAGAATCACCGCAAGTTCCGCTAACACAATGTTTTTGACTACAGATGGCTCTTACTTAAAGGAACACTGAAGCTACACCTACCGTGCATCAGGCATCCCTTGTGTATTGCACTTCCTTTCCAACTACCTTATCTTACAGTAGCTCCCTCCTTATTTTGCAAGTAGCTTGTATCCAGGAGTGCTACAAGTATTCATTTCAGATTTACAGACTTCAAGCCAGTCTGAGACTGAAGTGCCTTGGCTTGGCCTCGTTGCCCTACTTGAGATCAGAGAGAGAAGGCTGAGCAGCCTCTGAACAGCATCTGTGGTTGACTTTTAAAGAAGACTCTACACAGAGGAATGCTTTACATTTACCAGCCAAGACCAACAGAGAGGCCTTCAATCTTCTGCACAAGGCAAAGACTGAAGGTAACTGCACGTTATCCTGGGAATTCCTGGGTTATGCTGTTGCAGAAGAGGAACATGCCCAGTTATCAGTACTGAAAGACTGCATACGGCCAGAAGTTTGGATGGAACACCATGGAAAGATTTACTTCCCAGCAGGCTACTATCACGTAGGGAAACGCATTTTACAACAAAACATCTAGAAGTTTGACCCAAGTACTAGCTGACTAGAGAATCAAAAGCAGTAGAAGTCACAGCAGAAAAAAATTAATGTTCCAGCAAGTGAAAACAGCTGTTTTATAGGCTTGAAAGAGAATCTTTTGTTAGATTAAGCTCACAACCACATTCTGTCTAGGACTGTGCAGATGCAAAGAGAAAATAAGTAACTCCATGAGCAAGGGAACAAATAAAGCCTGGTTTCCAAAACTTTTTTTTTTTTTTTTTCCACCCATCGTGGTTGACAGACTAACTCCAACTAAAACTCGCAGGAAGGATATTCATAACATGTCTGCCCTGTCCCATTTCTTGTTAGGCAGAGAAGCCACACTGCACAACTACAGTTCTGAAATAATTAAATCGAAAGAATTCACAAGCAAAGGAAATCTCACCTGTGGACTGACTGGATTATCTAGAATTTCCTAAAACCTCACTCTAATTGAAACTTCTCTGCTGGTTAAGGCGTTCATACCAACTTTTGCCTGCATGGATTTTCCAGTATCTAGCCGGCTCTAGAGCACCAACATGCTCTCTCTTAGATCCTTATCTTCCTAAACACATTTTTGTTTCCTGAATCTATATTTACACTAGCAAGTAGTACAATACAACAAGAGGAGGTCTTCAGAGCAAGACTTAGGACCTAGTGTCCCTGTGTTAGGCATTCCAGGAGATTTTACTTCAGACTTGTAGATGCTCATTTTCTAGGCCAGGCACGCAGTATCTGCAACAAGACTACCTCTAATGGCTTAATTTCATCTGAAAGGACTCCCCACCGAGAGGCTCCAAACCCAGGAGCAGTAAGCAGGAGCAGGTGGCAGACTTGCTGCCAGAAGTACACTTCAAATAAACTCCAAAAGTAACATAGCTGCACCTCAGACTCCCACACCTGAGCAGGCTGACTGAAATCAACCACTCAGTCAAAAAGGTAATGACATTAAGAGAACAGCAATCCCGACTCTTTCAGCCCTGCTTAAAGAAACGAGGCTTAAAACACACTTTCCTCAAGAACTGTCCTAAGCCAAAATGATTGCGGAATTAAGAACATTAACATTACAACAAAGGGTTCCTTTTTCCACATCTTGCAAAAGGTACCTAGCACGTAAGTATAAAATAGATCTGAAATACAGAGTAGGTAAAAACACTAACACTCTTCAGTAGCAGGAAACGTTGAACTTGTTATACAACTGCTTTACAGGAAGTGCTTTGCTATCTATCAAAGTAAACAAGGTCTAGAGGGAGTGTACAAGTCAACTGTTCACAACAACTGCCAGACAGGCTCTCACTCTACATTTTTCCTCTGCTCATTCATCAACTTCTGTACGATAATTCCACTGGCCAAAAATATGCCTTTTATGTGTTTGAACAGTTCTGACATCACGACTACGTGGTCAAAATACATACTGGGGCAGGATTTAGACCCAAGATACTTAAAACACGTGAACTAGGGAAAACAAAACAGCTCCCCCTCTTAAAGAGAAATCTATTTCCATGCATAAGAAGGGCCATCTCTAAATATACCACTCTTGACTATAATCATACTTTGAAGAGACACACTCAGACCTAGCAGCTAGTGTTAATTAGCATTGGCTATACCAACACATCATTTGGATGCTCTCAAAGCTAAACTAATAGGAGCCCTACCTTTTGTTAGAAAAAGAGAGGCTAAACTTCAGAACTAAGATGGGGGGCAGGGGGAAGAGGAAAGCCACGTTCTTCAGAAGTGAAGGAAAGATACATTCTTTGCAGAGCCAGAGAGGAAAAAAATTCTTCTGGGCTACTTAAGTGCATCTTTCCTTGCCTTACTTCAATAAGGCCAGCTAGCTTCCTATAGTGCTCCAAAGTCATAGAACAGAGATTGGGGAAAGACCAAAAACAAGTAAAAGCCAAACAGCAAACATAAGGACCTGAGCAGTTAATAAGACATAAGCACTTAACAGTTTATGCAGGTATTTAACCATTCCCTTTAAGGCTCTACAGTCTTGCTCAGCTGTAGTACCCCCTCTCAACCCCAGTCCACGGAGCTCTTGCCATCCAGCCATCAGACCCAAAGTCTTATTAAAGGGCTGGAATGGAGGACCTTCCCTACCTGTGTTGTGCATAACCTACGCAGAGATGCCTTACTCTCCTCTAACGTTCTTTCAGCTAAATCTTCTTTTCGCTTCTCATCTTCACCAGTAAGAAGAGGTTCACTGACCTCTGCAGAAACACCATTTTCAGTAAGAAAGTCAATGTTAACATCCTTTCTCTCCAGGATCATCAATTCGATAGGGCCTCAACACACCAGACCAACTAGCAACAATCTTGCCAAAGGCAGAACTGGAAAAACTCTTACCTGACTGGAGCAAAACACAGCCTTTCCCAACTACTCCCTGAGGCAGCACAAAGTATGCCAACTTGAGATATAAAACTATTTCTTACGATTGATAATGGCACTGCTGCGATACGGGTCGTGGAAGGAGCTCCAAGACACCTGCACTGGAGCGCTGACTAGTACAAAACCTAACTGGACTCAGGTTTTGAGTTAATGGTGTCTGACAACAGTCTGTTGAACCTTATCAACAAGACAACCCTAAGGTATTCAGGAAGAAATTTGAGGAGTATTCTAAGGCACTTCTCCTTCAAACAGGAAATTTATTTTCCCAGGATAAATAAAAAAAGCAAGCAGTCACGTACTGTCATCACTCATCCACAGCAAGATCTAGAATGAAATTTGAGCACTGTCTATCTATGATCATAAGCTTGTCATCAGCACTTGCAACTGTGAGGTTGCATCCAACTGGTCATATTATTAGTCATCTTCAGCACCACTGTCACACAGCTAGACTTCAGCACAGTCATTCAAAGGGTCTTCCACGGATTTGCAATTGGGTTAGCAAGAACTAAGTGGATTATCAAGTCAAGTACTGGGATGACACAAATTTGATCAAGATCTAAGAGGCTTCAGCGGATGAACCAAGTTTCTCACGAGATAGCACAAGCAGCGGTTTAGCGAACAAGGTTAACAACTAAAGTGACCCAACGGCCAAGGTAACGTGCAAAAAAATAGAACTGGGTGAGGACTTTGTTTTCAGCCCACATTAATTTGCAACCCACTTTCTCATGGTCCACATCCAAACTCTTCAGGTTTTACTAGCTAAGGTTCTGCAGCAGCGTGAATGCGCTGGATCAGATGCGCTGCTCTGGTAAAACACTGCAGATATCAAAGTTGTAACAAAATCCAACTTTGTTCAGGCACCATGCTGTGCTACAGCAATACTCTTGAAACAGGTGAACGCTAAACCTTGGGTTTAAAATTAATCACATCTTGATGAGAAATCTTGAAAGACAGAAGAACATTAGAGCTCTTACAGAGAGGTAAAGACACTTTCTCGCTCTTAATCCTTGCAGGACAGCAAGGCTAACTCATTTACTTGGATAACTCTGAGCCAGTTGCTCAAATACATGCGAGTCCAATTGCTCTAACGATGCACAAAAGCTGCAGCCATATCCAGTACTAGGTTACGCTACCCAAGTGTTCTGGGGGTTGGTAACAGACCAAAGCAAGATGCAGGGTAGGCAATACAAAACACTAATTACGGTTTGTACTGACAGGTATGAAAGCAGGTATTTTAAAGCAGAGTCGCATCAAAAACAAGGGGGAAGGGCATACACAACATTCCTTAAGTTATGCAAGCTCTGATTTTCGTTAAGTATTTTTCATAGTCCCTAGAGCACAGGCCACTTAGTTTAAAAAAAAAAAAAAAAAAGAAACAGGGCGTTGGCAGCAACTCTACGGTTATTTTCAAGAAGGGCAGGTGCTTATTTTTCTCTAGAGTGTATGATATATGACCTCCCTTCCCATCTGCCTTACTAGAAAGTTTGGACGGGTCAAGTCTGAACTTTGACTAGTTCTGAAAGGAGGCAGCAGCAGGAAAAAAGTGGTTCCTTGTGATTTTCACAACCTTAAAGCCGGACCCCCCCCCCCCCCCCCAACAAACAAACAAAAAAACCAAACCCACACACTTACTTCTAATGAAAATGAAACTTTTTACTGAAAATCTGCTAGCTGGCAGAACCAGAAGCACCCTTGATCAGTTTTAAGAGCCATGCAGAGATCCAAGTCACCTGTCCATCTGTAGGACTTAAGGCTTTCATTCTCCCAAAGCCTTATTACACAAGTTACTGTAGGGCAGTAGGTTAGAGCATGAACAGTTAGCATTCATTTACTCTTTACAGAGCGTAATTGCAGATGAAGTACCCAGTGAAAAAGGTAAGTAACTTTGTCTTTACTGTAGGGTGTCAGCGTGCCTGTGAGCTGTTAACAAGTCTATTGTTCTGTGGAGAGAGTTCCCGCTATCTGCGGCGATTTATATCTCCTTATTTGTTGCAAAAGAGAAAAGTTCACAATTTCAGATTCAAGCTACAGAAGGGAGAAAGATTCATATCTGAAGAGTATGAGAATTACACCTGTAGTCAGGGTTCAGCCATTTTGAGACATATGAGAACCTTAGCAAATGCCCTGTAGACTCATTAAGAAATATGATTGGAGGACCAAGGCGGTTATCCTAAGTTATATGTTTTTTCCCTGGTGCTAGATTTGCTTATTTAATGCTTAATAAAAAGTTACTGTAACACCTATTAAAAACTAGAGATGACTCATTCCACTGTGCAAATGAATAAGCTTCCTTGTCACATATGCATCTTTTAGAAAGTCTTTCTTGAAAGAGACCTTCCCTGGTTGATAATATAAGTTGGCTTCCCCTGCACCTTTCCCCAACTTAAAGGTCAGTTCAAGAACTACAACATTTCCAATGTTCAAGTAAAATCATTCTAAAGCCTACTGATTTCACTAAAAAAAATGTGAAGGGGTTAGATCCCATGACCACTCTAAACAACTAGACAGAGAAACTAAGACCAGGAGAGGGGGAGGAGTATTTATAGCTGCTTCACAGAGAGTGCAAGGCTTCAGGGAGTTGCGTACATGCCAGAACTGTCAACCATTTCTCAAATAGGTTACACCACTACAATGCTATGTATGCTGCCCCTCCTACAGTGGGGCTCAATGGAGGCAGAATCCAGAGAGAAATTTGCTATCAAACTCCTTAAATGAAAGGGAAATAAAGCTGTTTTTATATAAAGTTATTGGCCCTGTCTCTTCAGGACTTGCCTATGGTTTCAGGTTCGACAGTAGCTGGCTCTGAACACTACTCCGCGGGTTAGCAGATCATACATACATACATACATTCAAAGATGATTTAAGACACTTACCTGGACTTGCTGGGGTTGCTGAACCTGTATCTGCTGCTCTTGCTGAGTTTGCTGCTGGACACTGGTTGTCACAGGACAAGCAAGTTCAAGCAAAGACCCAGCCACCTCTGTGCTGTCCGTGTAAATGCAGTTGCCACCTTGCTGATACACCATTGTGGTAGTGGCTGTCTGCTGAAACTCCTGCAGAGCTTCAGGGCCCTTGGAAGCAAGGGAGTCCAGAAACTCCTTCATCCTGTGCTGGGGGATTGTTCGCGCCTTCACACGGATGTATTCTTCAAAGGAAATGGTGTTTTCCAGAGAATTATTCATATTGCAAGGTCCTTAGGGTTCCTTAACAAAAGAGAAAGGTAAACTCTTTAACTACAGCACTCCTACGGTGCAAGGATATTCCCAACTCCAGCAACTCATTTCTCACACTGAGTGCCATATGAAAACTAGCAAACATGCACAGCCAGATGCCCTGAGACAGATGCTTTAGTTTTACAAGGCATCTTGTGCTAATACACGTTTTGCTAATTAACCCTTAGCAGCTCAGGGAAGTCTGAAGGATAACTACGTGTAACTATGACACCTATTTAAAGGGTCCACTGCCACGAGAAATCTTCTTCTAGCATTGTATTTAACACAGATCAGGCCAGTTCTCTAACAGACTAAATCAAGTCACACCATTTCATTCGTTCGCAGCATGCAGTATTAGTGACAGCAGCCTAGAAATCAATATCTGCGGCCCTGCTCTGCAGCCACAGAGGTGGGAGAACTAAGCAGCATGATCTGGCAGGCCATGCAGTTCTATTCTAAGCAGCTAATGGGAAGCACAACGGAAGAGCATCAGATGCAGCATTCAGCCACATTGCTATTAGGACTAGGGCAGCCCTACTGATTTGAACGTAACAAGCAAAAGAAAATGAGCGCTGGAATTAAGAGAGTCCTCAAATTGGAAACTAGATGCATGGAAAAGGAGAACTCCGGAAATGACAGAGGCAACAGCAGCATCAATTCTTGATATCCCTTTATTATAGGGAGAGGTGAGTGTGAAACATGCCAAGTATGAAAACCAAAGAGGGACAGAGAAAAAGAAAACAGAAGACCAGGGAGAAAGAGAGCAAGAAGAAAAAATCCACCTGAGAACATTAGAAAGCTCTAGCATTTGCTCTCTGATAGCATTCTCCTCTCTCTGTTATTGACTTATCTTGTTTAAACCCAGAAATTATTTCTGCAGTGAGTGTACTGTTAAGGCACTAATTAGTCCTGATACTGGGTAAATAGATTTGAGTTATAACACTGCCAGCTGCCGAGATGCTCATGAAAAGATGTGAATCAGTACAAGATTAGGACTAGAAGAGGGAACTCAGTACGACTAGATCAAGCTGTGGAGGGGTAGGAAAAGCAACAAACACCACTGCACGTACATTAAGACTGTAATTCTAAAGAAAATAGGTATGAAAAGCAAAACCACTTAGGTACTTTTTCACAGCAATTTTATCAAGTGGAACCAAGAGAGAAATATTTGATTAAACATTAGACTTCAATAGCCTGCCTGCAAATGGCAGTTAGTCCTAGGCTCTCAGCAGTGCTACACCTCAATGTAACGGTTCTCCACAAGTCCAATTCCCAACAAAACTGGGAGCCAGAGCAGATTTTAACAACTCTTTGCTGCTATATGACAGTAGCGTGAAAACCACATAAATGTATTTATGCAGAGGTTCAGTGCTAGTGCACCGAACCAGGCTCACAGAAAACAGAACGAGTATCAAACATAAGGGGAACATATGAGGTAGTTCTTGCTGAATATACTATTTATGGCATCTATAAGCAATAAATATTGCTGTATTAGACTACTAAAGAAGATGTTCTCAAAAAATGCATCACTGTTTAGAGATAAAAAGCACATGCTAATAGTGCTCACTGTTGTTATCGTTAAATGCAACAGTTCTGTAAAATCCATCACGCAGGACCTCTCACAGAGACAGAACTAGACAGAAAAACAAACCTCCTGCCTTTCAGTGATTTTAACAAATTTTCAAGCCAGCTCTGTGTGACAGAGCTAATAAGACTATTCGCTTAGTAGCCGGCTCAATGAAGTTTTTCTCCACAAGCCACCCAAGAACAAGATAAGTATCTCTGTAAGCTCAGCACTCAACTTTCCCTGCTGAAGAGGTAGCAACACTAACTGCTCAGTCAATACTCTGTATTTCTCTATAGAACAGATTATTCACCCCTTCCCAGGTGACTGCTGACTGTAGGTCCAAGGTGGAGCCAAAGGAAGAACCACCTTGTTAATGTACCTTCAGCGACTCAGACAGGGCCTCTACCAGACACAGCTAAATGAATCTTGCACCTAACTATAAAGCTCCATTAGTTCTCTGAAGCTGGAAAACACAGACTTTGAGTGATTAGCTGGACTGATTTTTCTGCTTACAGCTTGCAAATATTTGATTTCAGCACCACAGCTGGGCTTTCAGAAGAGCATAGTCACTTCGCACGCCCACTCAGAGATGCATTAGTAGACACATCTTTCAGGGGGAATACTTTTCTGAAGAACAAGCCTTGTTCTCAAGTCAGGAACCCAGAAGAGAACGCGCTACAGGTGCTATTTGATACTACAGTGAAGCTAGTATGACAACTAGCTGATGCTGAATAGGATGGGCTCACCTCTCAGCAAAGGTCCTGCCTACTTCCTTGCTCCTGCATTAGGGCTTATTATAGTGCAATGGCTCAGGGAATCAAGTCATAGGAAGCTATTTGCCTTCTGTTAATCGTGTCAAGGGAGAGAGCAGTGAGGTGAGCTGGGCCACTGTTTTCAGCAGCAGTTATCCATTAGCCCTAACAGCCATGCAATGTCATCATCCTGGTAAGACTCATGTGTCACTTTTGGGAGTCCAACCTTTCAGCTGAGAGCTGCTCAGACGTACACGCTGCTCCTCTGCAGCAGAAAGCAGAAGCCACCATAAACCCAGATGCATAAGCAACAGCCCCAAAGATCAGGAGGATTCTGCCACCACATCTTCACCTATCTCTTCCAACCACCAGAATGGTGAACATATATAGCATGAGTTCTTTACATATAAATCCTTGGCCCTACTCAGTTGCTCCTCCTTAACTGGTTCTCTTTAGCAAGCATTACAACCAAAAGCCTACTAGCCTGCTCTTGTGAGTCTTCCCCTGTCACAAGCTGTTGGAAAGGAAGCTCTCTTTCCC